CCATTTTCTTCATCCTAGTGCACAGGAGTCTTCTTGGCCAGAAGCCATCTACCTGTATAATAGCACCGCACAAACCATAGAGCTCAGTGCAGACAGCTTGCACTGCAAACAACTTCTTTCACAATTGCAAGTTTCTTTGATTGTGAACATCACAAGTATTACTAGGACAGGAGTGGCCAACCTGTGGCTCCAGAGCCACATGTGGCTCTTCAGAAGTTAATATGCGGCTTCTTGTGTAGTCACCGACTCCAGGGTTGAAGCTACAGGCTCCAACTTTCCAGTGTGCCGGGGGTGTTCACTGCTCAACCCCTGGCTCTGCCACAGGCCCTGCCCCCACTCCACTCCACTCCTTCCCACCCTCTCCCCTGAGCCTGCCGTGCTCTTGCTCCACCCTTTACCCCTCCAGAACCTCCTGCACACCACAAAACAGCTGATTGGGAACTGCGGATAGGGCATGGGAGATGCTGATCGGTGGACCTGCCGGTGGGTGTGAGGCACTGGGAGCGGGGTGAGGGAGCTGATGGGGGGCTGCTGACGTATTACTCTGGCTCTTTGGCAGTGTTCATTGGTAAATTCTGGTTCCTTCTCAGGCTCAGGTTGGTCACCCCTGTACTAGGATATCTTAAAGGAGAACCTTTATTGACTGTGTTGCTGCCCGGCTCAGATATTTGGGCCCAAATCTTATAATGGGATGAGGAGAAAATCCAGAAGCAGCTGGCCAGTGATGTTAAATGCTCTTATGTACATACAACCAGTCATCTGAATACTTGGTATAATCTGGGCTTATAAACCACACTGGGATAAAATCAAAAACCTAAAGTACAGCGTAAAGTCAGTGGACATCAGAAAACTCAAGTCCTGGCATAGAATTTTTCATTTCCACAAGGGTCTGGCTAGGAGCCTGAAGACTCACTCCTCTGCTCAGCCTAAGATGCTCCCAAACATAATGAAAAAGTACTTGGTAGCATGATTATTCAGGGGAGAAGAGAACACCATTGCCAAGTAGGAGGAACGGGGGTCAGGGAGCCTGACCAGGAGTTGCCCAGATCACAAGATCCATTTGTAGGATGGAGGCCCAGATCCTGAGATGACTGAGCTGGTTCAGCATGAGGAAGTGGAATCTGGAGATGAGAAAAGCTTTATCAGGTATGCAGCTTACTATTGTGTACAGTACTGATGGGGACTGATTTTTTTTTTCAGATTCTGGGGCTGAGAGAAATTTTTCTGGGTTCTTATGAATGCCATCCTTAATATTTGTGAATGGGCAGTTATAGCCTTATGTGAAGATGAAAGTGTCCACTTCACCTTCCCCCTGCTCTGCCAGTCCTCACTCCCTCAACCACTCCCTCCTTCATCCTCTTTGCCATAGTATAAGTAACCGCCCCACAGCAGCCCACTCAAAACCGTTATTCCCCCATAACTGGTCTGTCTTGGCCCCACCCTTCCATCCTCTCACTTGTGGTACCCTTTTCAGCTGCATGGCCTGCCAGTTACGGTAAGAGAGGAAGCGCTTGGCTTGGCACTTACAGCAGCTGGCTGTTCTATACCATATAGCCACATCCAAAATAGCAGGCACGTAATGGGGATTTTTTTTTAATGTCACATGAAACACCAATGGAAAAATAAAAACAGCTGGACCTGTAACTTACTGTAATAAGTTAATTATTGGATGCTTGCCAAAGCATTTACCTTACATTGTATTGGCTGGCCCAAATGGCATCTGGCCATTTCCATACAGCATGCACAACTTGGCTATCTGCAATCACATTAGAGTTTGTCTTTCTAATGAATGCATGAAAATGCTGTTTATGTAATGCCAGTAAAGCAGTATAAGTACAAGTTTGGAGTGTAATTATGCAAGTAACAAGCTGTGTGCTTTGTGTTGTGAAGGGCGATCTCGTAGATCCTTCTATCCCTTATTTTACCCCATTCTGTAGCTCCTGTACTGGAGAACTGTTTGTATGGCAACTTCTCCAAAGTTAATATGAAGTTGTTGTTTTTTTTAAATAAGGCATATCAGCAAGGTAGCTAACCAAGCATCACCAGTCATGGAGCTTCTCATTGGATATCACCTACAAAAAACCAAAACCCCTCATTTTCCAAGATCCTACTTTTTTGTAGTAAGTAACTTTTTTATACCATTTTGGCATTATGCACTACATATCTCGCTTCCCCTGATCTAAAATAGTCCCACACCTCTCCATAGTTTTAAGTGTTGTGTGAGAATTGGGAACATATGTCCTTAACATTCTGTGTCAGATGGCTCTGGATTAGTTATTGGAATTTAAAAGAGAAGAGAGAGTTTGTCTCATTTGTTGACATTTCATGGGACGTGTGAGGGATTGCTGTGCGTGTTAATTCAATCATATCTTATTTTCTCTGTCAGGGCTTGCTGTCCAGCTGTGCATATTGTCCAGACTCCATGTTGGTGGCAAAGTTGAAAGGACCAATTCATCAAAGCGCAAGAGAATGTGAACAGAGAATGAGAAGGAATTTACCACTTTGAGGAGTGAGAGATGAGGCAGCCCTGAACACGCCTGGAAGGCAGAAACAGCTCCAGCAGGAGGACAGAACTCATGCGAAAATATAGACAGCAGAAATTTACAGGGAGGCAGAGTTTCAGCAGCCATTATTTAATGACTAAAGGCGCAAAAGAAACTGCTTGCAGCTCTGTCCCTACAACTAGTCTGCTCCTGCGCTGCCATGTGCTGCCCACTACCATGCCCTCCCAAAAGCAGAGAATAGAACTTTTTGGATTGGGATCTACCTCTTTGGCTCTCTCCCAGCCATTCTCCAGATGTTCAACTCCTATTTTTGACACAGGGAAAGAAAATTGTTTCTGCAGCTGGACTCCCTTATTAAAACGAAGTTTTGTTTTTGGAAAAAAGGCATTGTTTTTTAATGTTGATGATACTTAATATAAGGTGACACTGTCTCCATTATAACATCAATAAAAAATTAACACAGCATAAATATGCTAGGTTAACATCAATGTTGTGCCATCTAGTCCTTCATTCTTCCCTGTACAAAATAAGGTATTTTCAAGTAGTCCTAAAAAGAAACAAAGCATTAGTCCTTGATGCCCTCTGTTTCAGATCTGTAGCGCTTGCTCACCAGAAGTAGTGTTCTCATCCTTCAGCTGCATCCACATGATTTTCTGGCTGTGAAAAAGTAGAGGGCAGGCTGTCTGAGCCACTCTAGTCCTTACTGGTGACCTCTCCTTTGCTTTCGCTTATGTTACGTAAAATGCAACAAGCAGATATGATCATGGTAGTATTAGTCATGGAACAGTCAACAGACAATCTACGTCTTGCTTTCAGTATCCCAGAAGCACACTTCACCACCATCCTGCATTGGCTCAGTGTGTAGTGGAATCTTCTACCTTTTGTTTATGTAGTTGGGGAAGTTTTAATGAGCCAAGGCAGTACTGGGTAGATGGGATCACCTGGGAGCACAGTGGGGATGGAAATACCCATAATGTCAATATTGTTCACTGGGAATAGTTTTTTTCACTTTTCCTGTTTTTGAGAAGTCCAGAGTTTGGTGGTGGGGGTTTGTGGTTTGTTTCAAGTCCTGGCATCATGCACTTCTCCAGGCTACTGTATGTCAATGCCCAGGGCTTCCCAGGGAGATACACTTCATCGTCATGGAAACAGTTTCCTTTCTGTTACGTATTTCTCTGCTTGTTGTGCTCAGGCACAGAATGGGCATGTGGATTCCATTAATGGCTCTGTCAGTTTGGGGAGCCCAGCCATTTAAATTATTTGGTCTCTGGCATGTTAGCAGTCTTGATCACTTGCCCTGTAACACACACAGTATTTATTACAGTGCAAACTCCTAGCACAACAGCATTCACAATGGACTTCCCAACTGGGTTTCCATCTGGACGGTAGAAAACTAGGTTAGTCGACTTCTACAGTGTTATGGCTGCTCACTCTTCTATAGTGAAGGAGAGCTCTCATCGTCTGGTACTGCTGTGTCAGGGGCAAGCTCAGCACAAAGTTCCAGGGAAGTCTCCTTTGATCTTGAAGTTCTTGCAACCTCTTGCACAAATATTGAAGTGTATATTATACTGCACATTCAAAAATGAAACCCTACCCCACCCAGTATGTGTCTCTAGTCACAGTCTGTTGACCAAAATGACTGTCACCCACCCAGCCTACTTCAGATGTATTTCTGTTATGGACTGGAAACCACCACTCACCCCCACATATGGCACTATTGACTGAGCCACATTCTGTTCCCCCAGTTCTAAGTCAGATACCAACACCTTGCATCTTAACCTCTATATTTATACCAGAGACTTCTCTCTGTCTAGATGTGTTTTTTTTTGCCACACCTATCCTAGTAATTGAGCACCTTACAATTAATAGCAAACTAACACTGGCCAATACAAATCTGCGAGTACTAGCACGATTTCACTCTCATCCCACACTAGGGAGGAGTTAATTGTTCAGAGCGCATGCATGTGTATATATAACTATATAACCATGGGAAGTCAGTGGACGGTCTAGGTGATCAGCATTTTTAGTAATCAGGCGTCTTACATATGTGCCTAAATAGGGATTTAGGATGGTGCTTGAGTGACTTAAAAGCATAGGTTCCACTAACCTTCAGTGGGATTTGTGTTCTAAATTATTAGATGCTTTCGCAAATCCCTCCTTTAGGAATGTAACTCCAGTCAGCATGCTTTGAAAATCTTGGTCAGAGCTTATAATAGAACTTCCATTGCAACCATGTCTACGAAGCTGTGTCCATGGCTCCGCGACAAGACAAACCTCAGTGTTGTGGTTCACTAAATGAAATCTAGCACTTGCAGTGTTTCCCCACTGATAGAATTAAACTTGTGCACCTTTGTGTTTTCTTTTGTTTTTCTCTCTGCCATTTGCTGTTGTTTGGTAGTAACAATACCATTGTGTTGCTTTTGAAAACTCTTTGATGTGTTAGTAAGAAATGGTTAAGGCAGGCTAATAAGAAAATTTCATTTTTCCCCCCTTCAGATCCAGACATTTAATGTTGAAGCACCATGCCAGACTGTGGAGGATTTAACGAATGGGGTTGTGATGGCCCAGGTGCTTCAAAAGATGTAAGAACAAATTGTTTAATGGTTTGTGGGGTTTTTGCATGCAGAATAGATCATTTGTAAATGTACCCAATTATCTGAATGTAAGTAAGTATGTTTTCATATTAAAAATTGACCAGTATCCAGTAAGGACTCAGCTTGCTAAACTTAGTTTGTGTTTTCACCTAAAGCATAACCAACAGTTATTTGAAAATGGAGAAAAACATCTGAAAAGTACAGTTATTTTAAGGCAAAACAAGTACCTGGTCAAAGAGTTTGTGTACGAAGTTTCCACTTTATTGAGAAATAAAATGGTTAAAACTTAAGAAGAATACTTTTTACACCGCTGTTAAAAAGTTTGATTTTAATTTGATTAATAATGCAAAATAGCTTATTAGTTGAGGACAATTTATGAAAACTACTAAACACATACTATGTCATAAATTACAATATGTTGTAGTGATAAATCTTGAGCCTGCTATACCTGTCAAAAAGTTTTAATAACTCCCCATATTGCCGTCCTTTTTAGTAGTGTCAGTGCGGAGTTCAGAGATTGAACAGACATGGGTAATTTATTATTATTTCATCTGCTGGAGTGAATCCCTTCAAGTCATGGTTGAGTCAAACCGGCAAGGCAGTGTAAGGAAACTTGATGCTCATGTAATACAAGATTTGCGTTAAACAGAGAAGGTCTATTTCTAATCCTGCCAATCTAGCACCATTCAAAGACCATTCAATTCCTAAAAGATTAAGGGGGGAGGGAACCTCTCTGTGCTTGGGATCGTCATGACTTTTTGTAATAGGCCTTTGATGGATCCAAATATGGATTAAGATGCTGTATACACTGATTCAGAATGCATCACTGTAGTTTGTTGGTAAATGAGGTTTATTTTCAAAGCTTATTTTCAAGTGTATCATACTTACCTATCCTTTATGGAGAGATTTCTGCTTCTGTTTTGAGACTAGGGATAAGCATCTGATATGGCAGGTACTTGTCCCCCACTTTACAGCAGCTGAAGAGGGCCTTCCTCTGTGGCTTCTCCTGACAGGGAGCCTGATACCCCCTGGGGTACATTTGCTGGGAATAAATCTGTCCCGAAGATCAACCCATTGGGTGCAATGGGGAGAACTGGTTGGTGGCCTGGCAACTTAGTCCCTGGGCCAGCAGAGCAACCCTATTCTCCTAAAAATGGGGGAGGTGGCTGCTGAGTCTGGCCCTACCTGGCCTCTCTGGCCTTGGGACTTGGTCAATATGGACAATAGGCATGATTCAGTATGACAATTCCTACATTCTTGTAAAGAGTCAAGGGATCAACTTTATTCCTTAATATGGGGAAGGTACAGAACATAATCAAAATAATTGCTGGGCAAAAACAAATAAACAAATCTAAAAGTAGTTTTCTGCACAAATCCTCCAAAAGGAAGATTAGGAAATCAAAAAGAATAAAAATAGGTATTAGTTTTTCATCAGCAGTCCCTTATTCCACAGAGGGAAGGAGTAGCAGTCTGCCTGCAGTACACAGGAGGAAGTGGAAGGAAACTCAGAAGTTGTCTAATATTTTGAGGCAATGCTTAAAATGTTTTGTAAGAGGACTTAATATGGAAGAATATAAATGAGGAACTGAAGAGGATAATCCTGGTTTAAAAATGAAGAAAATATTTACCTCCTCCTTGGAACTTTTAAGAAGGTCCTATGCCGTATAGTTTCATTCTGCTCTGGAGGAAATTGTATAATAGAATTTGGGAAATACAAATAAGCCCAACAGAAAAGTAATGCAAAAAAGCAGGTTTCATGGAGATTTTCCAGACATGGCTGTTTTACTGAAGTAACAAATAAAACTCTCAAAGGGCAACATCTTGGCACATATTCCACAGATAAGTTGAAGTCCTCCTACACAGAAACAGAGGCATCAGTTATGAAAGCTACGCTGCCTTGTACATGCTTTGTCAGAAAGGAATCCTGGTATGTTCAAACAATATGTCAACAGTTCTAGCTGCTCCTAAGTGTGATTAAAAACGCTCTACTATTCGAATGTTGTTGTTTAGGGGACATTAAAGAGGATGCAAAAAAGAAAACATGTATAGTATGCCCAATTTTAAACTAGCATCATCATTACTAGTCTATGTATCATGAAAGATGAATGTCAATGTTTTAGGCCTAAAAAACAGGAAATCCACAACATAAATCAGGTATTGTAACAACATTAATCTAAAAAGGGACTCTCACCATCTGAAGCAGGAGGGAACATGACAGAATATACTGAGGGAAGGTGAGCACTTGGGATAAGAGATCTTGTTAGTAAATTTTGTAAGAATTTGAGATTCTAACTTAACCGTTCTTGAATCATGTTTCAGAACATTCATGAAGCTGAGACCATATTGTTACATTAGATACTTTAGATATTCGTTAATCATAAAGTTATGCACATGCAAGATCATAGTAGTACATTGTATAGTTTGGGTAGCCATTAATCATGAAGTGATGCATCTGCCTCATACTGTGTATGTCCCATAACTTCATCACTAATCAGCAGTTGATAGGATTATTTTCTGTATCCACCTGTTGGCCAACACATGTGGCTGACTGGTGTGTATAGTTCAAAATGGGGGTCTGTAGGAATTATGTCTTGTATGTATCAAAAATAAAACTCTTGGGTGACATGGGGAGGGAGAGCTCAGTAGTCTTATTGATCATATTTTTAACCTTTTGTTGGGCCTTGTATCTTGTACACTTCCAGGGGCAGAGTCCCAAGAAAATCAACCCTGACTTACTGTTTCCAGCTGCACAGGGGATATTTATTTATTTATGGTGTGTAGTCATCATAGGTAAAATGTGTACAGTATAAAATTTGTATTTCCATAGCAGCATTGAAATGGAATGATGCTTTAGTGATTGTTCTTGTTATCACTCCCCCCCACCCCCCCAGCTTCAGTGAATGCTAGCTTGAATTCACTTTCCCCATGCAACCAGTGATTTGTAATAAAGGTCAACTAAGCAATTTGTAAGTTCAGGTGATAACCCCCATACAATAATTTGGGCCCGTCTAAATAGACTTTATGGCTGTCAAAGCTCCTGTTAATTGAACTTCATTGCAGAGGCATGCTAGATGGCAAATTTCTAGTTCCTGATATACATACATCGGTTTCACAATAATTTTGAATGTCTTACTGCTGAGAAACGCTTCGGAGCAAAAGAGTCTTAATATCAGCTGATTTTGAATTTTTTCAGAGTAGTCATCAGGTATTAAATCATTTGAAAAGAAAATTACAATTGCTTCTTCTTTTGTAGTGTGGTTGCCTCGATGGATTCTTTTAGGTTCTCAGATATCTATGGCAGTAAACACAGTAGCCAGTGATCACCTATGTCTCAGAAAGCTTGCCCATAAATCTAACACGTTATGAGTATCTCTAAGTATTCAGTTGGTAAGGTGATTGAGAACCATTAGGCAAAACCATTTTAGAAAATACAGAGGAAAAACATTGGCTCCCATCAGCTATTTAAAAATATATATATATAATTTGAAACAGCCAGTAAAGTTTTCCTTTTGCTCCTTCAATTCAAACAGGTACCACAGAAAGGACTCTTAGTCCAGAGGCAGGCGGGACTGTTCAAGCAAAGGAGGGGGAGTCCAGGGCTGACTTCTCCAGTCCACCATTCCTTCTAGATCAGCAGCATGACTCCCACTCCTGTCCCAAGACAACCAACTAATTGGGGGAAAACTGTCGCAGGAGTAGAAATGCATGACAGGAGACAGGTGGGTGCTAGAAGTTATTCAGAAGAGTTGTTGGGTAAATTTAAAACAAAGATTTGAGCACTCCAGCAACATCCTTGAATTCAGTGAAGAGCAAATTCACTTCAGAAGCCAATAGATCACTTACTGCGAATAGGTGCTATAGAGCCAGTACCACAGACGTGATGTCTGGTGCTTACTCCTAGTTATCTTCAGTAATCCCCAAGAAGACTTGAAGGGTTGTGAGAGTTTGATGTGAAAATCTCTCAACTAGTGCACCTTATTAGAATGGAGAGCTGAAGTCAATCGGGTGACTTAGACTATTTCATCATATCAGTCCCTTTGAGAAAGGTAAACTGTATTATCCCTGCCTGAATTTTTTGAGGGTTGCTCTGCACAACTGCCTCCAGTATAAGGTCCTATATCTGAATGTGTCTTCTGCCCATGTGTGTTCACTATGATCCTAGTAATATCAATATCTTACTTCATGGGGGAAGAAGAGAGAATTATATCCATTTCTAGATGGCATCAAGAGTTTCATCAAGAGAAATCAGTCAATTTTGTAAAAGAGCATCAAGAAAGCAGAGTGTTGCTGAAGAAAATATCCACTTAAGGTGCTATTAGACTCCTGACAGGGTGTCAGTTTTCCATGAGTAACCAAAATACAGTCAGCAAGAACACAGCTAATTGGATCAGACAGAGTGTTGGATAGTAATCTGAAGATGTTGGGCATGCTAGTTTCCTGCATCACTGTAGTGATCCGGGCCCATCTCCATATGTGGATTAGGCTGGCACGTCTTGTCACTGAAGCTCATGATGTTTGAAGTTCTGAACACAATAGTATCTGTTTCCCTGTCAGTTTATGAACCTCTGCTTTGATGGAAGGGACTGACCAAATGTTCATCAGGGCAGATTACAGTAGAACTAGAGAGGCAAAACCAAGTCAATATTTTCTGTATTGGGACAGTGCTCGCTATTCTTGCCACGGTAGCCTTTTCCTGGAGGGAGCTCTAGCCAAACTCATGGTTGGCATTCCATGACAATCAGAGAATCTAGGTTACGTTTTGAATGGAGAGTTTACCAGCCTGCCAGTGACTGGAACCCTCACTGGGAGTGAAGTGTCCTTCCTGGGCAAGTACAAAAGGGAGCTGTGGAAAAAGATTCACTCATTTATGGATTCTCCCTCTAAAATGAAATATGAGACATTTAAGACTAAAATGCATATGCAGAGATGGACAAATATCAGGTGTGGGCATCCTGTTTTTTTTGACCCCTCCCAAGAAGACAGTAAGGGCAGTTGTCTGTTTGGTATTCATACTACACTCATTGCTGAGGAAGGCATAGATGATAGCTACTCTTGACTATCAGAATATTATCCTACGGACTGAGCAGAACTGAGGTTGACACCAAGTTTTACACCGTTTCACTAGTGATTGGCATATTTGTTTAATAATTTTCATGACTGTCATTCAGCAAGCTCCTCAAAATCATTTCCCTGCTCATGAGCAGTGTCTCATTCTTGTCCGGCTTAAATTTCAAACCAGCTGTCTCAAAGGAGAATGTAAAACTAGGGTGTCAGCATAAGGATGGCACTGCAGCCTGAAGTGATTGAAGATGTCCAGTAAGTGGCCTCCCATAGCCATTAAATGACTGGGGTGGTAGGAGGAAAATCTTGTGGCAGAACACAGGAGAATACAATAAGAACTCCTTGACAGCAAGGCACAGGTGATCATTCACTGCCCCCTTGATAAGTCACTCATATGAACCAATGCAGCATGGTCAGTAAGTCTGCTGAAAGATATAACAAGATCAACTTGGACACCTGACTTTTGTTCATAGCCGAGATCAACCAAAGATACTAGTGTAGTTTTTTAGGTTTATCCAGCCCTCATGTAACTGGAATCTATATCGTGCTACAGTTGTCCAGCTGATATTTTCTCACTAAATCTCCAGAATGGGGAGATTTGGGACTAAATGGAAAACAGAGTAAAACAGAAGATGGCTTCTTGTGCAAGGTGTTAAACACCACTTACTTTAAAAGAGGCTGGCATGATGCTTTCATGTAGTCATTAATAATCTTTGTCAATAGTGGAACCAAGCTTTCCTTCCTGGATTTACCTGTTCATGAGAGAGAAGGGTTCATTTCACAGCTAATTGGACAAAGTCTATTTCACACACATAGTGAGATCTATCAGCAAAACCAGATGAAACTCTACTATATATTTTGCATTTGCTGTTTCATGCTTTTGTACTCTTGTGTCCGTAGTCATGGATCTGAGCTATGTCTCTGAATGGGAGCAGTCTGGAGTCATAAGATTGCCTAGTACTTAAAATCATTCTTCCAGTTATGTGTTTTTAGATGCTGTCAGAGAAAAAGAAATATGCCTTAGCCTTCATCATAGTTTCTGTAGAGGAATGTGTAATATAGCACCTGGAATCTGTTGAGTTGAGACACTTTCACCATTGTGATCTTCTGTCTCCTTTGCCATGTAATCTATCACAGACCATTTGTTAACTCTGAGGACATTGTAGAGAAAGGGGATACCTGGGAGCTAGTGTAGCAGAAGAAAGAGGACAAAAATTTGTATGGTCTAGCCATCAAAGCGCTAATCTAATGGTTGGCCAGCTGTATCTGAGTTTCGAGCTTTATTTGGATCACAAGGCACATTAGTGGATTTGATAGATTTAAAATAAATAGACCATCCCAAAAGATCACAAAGTGGCTAAGACTTAATAACCGATATACTTTTTTCATATAGGATTCACTTCAACACCACTGGATCGAACAAAGCAATAACAGTGCACAGTGGCAGCACAACTTTTTAAGTCCGCAATCTAAGAATACTTTTTCTTCTTGAAACTGCCTGGATGTTTACCCATTTTGGAGACTCACTAGAGAAGTAGATCCTAATAGCCATACTCGTTCAAAAAGTGCCATCAGTTTTCTGGCTACTGGTGGTCAGATTTTGATTTCATTTGTCATAAAAAATGTGGGGGCCCCTATAGCAAAGTGCTCCGTGAAACTATGCTAGGGGGCATTGCTTTATGCTGATTAAGATGCGGAAATGTCACCTACTAAATCACTAATTTTTTTTATTGTTGTTCCCTTTGTCTCTTCTTCGTTCTGTTTGGCTGTTTGCTTTCTGCTTCATTCTGAGTGAGTGTGAGAGAGAGAGAGAGAACATGATTTTGGATACTTGTTTACTGGAACTGACGGTTACATTTAGTTCCTGGCCTCTTTGTAGGTGGGAACATAACTATCAAAAATCTGTGTTGGAAAATGTGATTTTTGAATAAACAGTTACCAGTAAGAAACATTCGCTCTTTTTAGCTAGTCTCTGAACCTTGGGGAGAAAGCCCTAGCAGTTGCTCAGGGAAGATGTCTGCCAGAGGGATAGAAAACAGAGGTGAACAGAAAATATAATGGCAGATTATACAAAACAATAGTGTGCCCTCGTTGAGTACTGTTTTCTATCTTGGTTGCTTCACCTCAGGAGCCAAACTTGGAAAAAACTTGAAAGAAGGGTGACTGTAATAAAAAAAAAAAAAAAAAAAAAAGTTAAAGGTTTGACGGGGCTTACAAGGAAAATGCTTTTAAAATGCTGGGATTTTTATAGGATAGAAGGGAAAACAATTAAGCAGATGCTCAGAGGTAAATATAAACTAAGTGCTCCTTTTCAACTTTTTCCACTGTATGAGAATGGGTTTATTTGGGTTTTTTGGTTGAAATTGAAGGGATTACATTTTTAAAGAAATATTTAAAGTTAGTATGTGGGAACTCACTGCTCCAGGAATTCATAAGAAGTACGTGTGTTTGGATTTAAAAAGTCTATTAATTGTATCAATAATAACATACAAGTATGCAAGCTAAATATGGTTATTGTAAGATAATTCAGACTTCATGATTCCAGGCATTAGGTGATTGCTTGTGAGGATTGGAAAGAAAATTTTCCATTTGCAGAACATGGTACAAATTGGCTAGGTGCTTTGTCCAGTTATGCTGGAAGAAGGACAGGAAATGTTTGATGTGGTTTAATTAGGCCGCAACTTTATTCTTAAATGTCTGGGAGTCCTGACAGATAAAAGTGTACAATGCAGGTTATCATTTTAATATATACATGATGGGCCATCCCGCTTACCCATCCTCATCCCCAGCCAACCCAATTCTGGGACTTTACCATCTCTCCCCCTTGAATAAGGGTGGGGGGGTTATAAAGAGGGAGGGGGTTGGCTCCCTGCCATACCAATCATAGGAGCCCTGAACCATCCCCTCCCCTCCAGTTCTGCTCTTTTAAAGAATACCTCCCTTAAATCGGTTACCAATCCTTTTTATCTGATCACTGTATCCCTTCCCTACGGAGTACCTACACTTGGACATCTACCCCACGTTTACATAAAGAGTTGCGACATCATAGCCTAACTCCCATTTCATGTTCACCCTAACTAAGCTCCTCTAATCCTTGTGTGGGGAAGGTGAAAAAAACCCACTTCACCTTGGCTAATGTGATGAGGGAAAAATTCCATCTGTGCCCCCTGAAAAAGGAGTGAGCAGAGGAATGCCCACAGCAGATCCTGATAAAACCTAGTATTTCACCACTTCTGTGGGTGGGAGGGTGGGTGCTGCTCTGTCTGGTCCAGGTAAAAGAGGGCTTTTCCTGCACCGGCATGGACCTATATAATTGTCCCTCTATTCCAGTCACTGGCAGGGGGTGGGTCAGTATCCGCATGCTGACCTGGTCTGCCACTGCAGCAGAAAGTCACTCGCTGTCTCTTTACCACTCAAAGGGGCACGCACCTTTTACAATAAGCCAGACAATGGCCCCCACGGCTTAGGTGTCATTTTAAGAGTATTACAGTCACCTCAAAAGTACTAGGTAAGTATTGGAGGCATTCGGATAACAGTATGATGAGCGTGATATAAATATTTAGATAGATTATATTAATATCTATATGTGTATATGCATTTAAATGAACATCAGTATAGGATTCATCTGGAATCTCTAGCTTGTTAGTACTAGAAATTGGTGTTTTTAACATATATGCTACTTTTATTTATTTTCAGAGATCCAGCATACTTTGATGAAAACTGGTTAAACAGAATCAAAACAGAAGTAGGAGATAATTGGAGACTAAAGGTATTTTCTTCATGCTTTGCTTTTCTACAGTCAGTATTTTAGTTCTTAATAAAATATTTTTTCAGTATTAACTTATTCCTAAATTAAAATATTAGCTTACAGTAGAAGATATCAAACTAACTGTAGTAAATGTAATTAAGGATTTCTCATTATCTAAAGTTGTTGGCTCTTTTAGAGTTTAATTCAATGTCAAAAACCAAGTTAATGATGTAAATCCATTTCAGTAATTGGAGAAAACTTATCAGAAAAATAAACCTTAAAAGAGCTTTGAAAAATTTTTTTAAAGAAAATTTCAACAGGTAGGAAATTTGAATGAAGGTAAAAAATAATTTTTTTTTTAATTGCTAAGTATGGAAATGCCCAACCAATTACCCTAAAAATCTTAAGTGCACTTCAGAAAAGACTGTGGAAAAATGACATCTTACTACTCTGCTTCTAAGGTATATTCAGTCATATCTATGATAAAGAGGTAAAATGATGTTATTCTTTACTACAGTGTCCACTCAACTGTGGAAGAGCAAACTATTCTGGTTTGGATTTTGCATAATCATCAGATTTGTTAACTAATTTCTAGTTCCACAATCACTTGTGCAACTCAGTCACCTTGTAATAATATCTTCAATTACACTTTTTTACAAATCCTCAAGTCAATAGAGATTGCACAGGTGTAGTGGAGGGTAGTTTTCGACCTCCACAAACTAGAAAGAACACAGCTAGATGCTGAGATCCCAATGTGGGTTTGAGGAAAAATACCTTCAGTTGTAAATTGAACAAATTTGATCTGAAGATCATTGAGATGTAATCAGATGTGCAACCCTACAATGACAGGTTTCAGAGTAGAAGCCCTGTTAGTCTGTATCCTCAAAAAAACCAGGAGTACTTGTGGCACCTTAGAGACTAACAAATTTAATCCCATTTCAGGATAGAACCATAGGTGAAAGGTAAACTGCTATCAAAAAGTTGTTTGTGCCTCTTTATTGCTCTTCACCTTTTTCCATAAAAAGGTTGTTTGCTTGTTTTTCCTCCTAGAAATAACAAGCCTCGACTGCTGTTTTTCTTGATCAACTGGAGAACTACTGTCCATAATATCACAATAGGCTGAAAGTTCAACTGCAGCTTTTGCAGATCCCTGTTGAAATTGGGGGAAGGGAACTTTCTCGTACCAGTTTGTCAGGAGTTTGAATTTGACATGAAGGGGAGTGTTCCCCCAAAAAAGTTTAAAGCAGCCGTATTAAACTCTTCCCCTCCTAAATGAAGAGAGGGAAAGCAGCTGAGGTTTGTCCATTGATGTCAGAATCTTAGTAGTTTTTCAATCCTCCACTTTATAAATAAGAATGTGAAGAGCTAATACTTTTCATGCAAGGAGTGTACTAAAGGAAACAAACAAAAAAACCCCAACAACAATGCAACCTTTGAGACCTTCGTAAAAATAATAAAGGGCACAAACAAAATATTTAACTCTTCCTTTTGTAGCCTCGCCACTTGCAGGGATCCTTGATATAAGGAGTATGCATATCTGACAAGTAACACAGTTACAGTTTGTCTTCAGCTCTCTATATATTGGTCATTTAAAACGTGGTGAGTGGGGACATCTTCAGTATGTATACTTAGATGGCTTACCTCCAGATTTAAGATGTCAGTAGCACATATCTGTGAACATCCTTAATAGTAAAAACAACAAGGAGTCCTTGTGGCACCTTAGAGACTAACAAACTTATTTGGGCATAAGCTTTCGTGGGCTATAACCCACTTCATCAGATGCATGGAGTAAAAAATACACTAGGCAGGTACAAATATACAGCACATGAAAAGATGAGAGTTGCCTTACCAAGTAGGGGGTCAGTGCTAACGAGGCCAGTTCAATCAGGGTGGATGTGGCCCATTTCCAACAGTTGACAAGAAGGTGTGAGTATCAACCAAGTCTTTATTTGGGCCTAATTTGATGGTGTCAAGTTTGGAAATTAATTCCAGTTCTGCAGTTTCTCATTGAAGTCTGTTTTTGAAGTTTTTTTGTTGAAGCATTTTGTACACTATCCCACAAGGCTCTGTTATAGTGAATAGAAGAATATTCTGACTGTGTCAGGCACAAGGTAGAGCTTTGTTCCCTGTCTCCAATGTTGCATGGTGTAGTAGTCAAACACTTACACTAGAAGTACAAATCAGTGAAGGTATCCAAGTCTGGGGAATAGATGATGAGGTAGAATACTATGCAGCTGATCTTGTTTTCCTGATGCTCCCCCCACGCTGATGACATCCTACTCCAGGTGCCATTGTCATTGAGGAATTTAGTAAATTACACGGTTATAAATTGAACCTTAAATCAGAGTTTTGATTGTACATTGGAGCTGTGCAAGAATGCATGGCTCAGTGCTACGTTAGCACACACTTAGATTAAGTATTTGATCATCATAATCTCTTTGATTTGGTCTGAAATCCAAATATTGAATTATTAGCCTTCTCACTTAATCAGTTTTAAAGTGATTTGAATCACTGGGCAAATTTACCAATAACTATGAAGGACAGAGTTGTCCTATTAAAAATGTAGTGTCCTTTTACTATACCAGTGGCAAACTTATCTGTATGATTGAATACTAAAGATTATTCTCAAATTCTGAAGGAACATAAATTGCGTAGGCAGGTCTTAATATTCCCAGTTGCAGAGCACACTTTTGGCTTCAGAGACAGAGAAAAAGGGTAGGAAAAGACCATCGGGGACACATTATAGCACTGGGTACAGGCAGAGCTGTATATACTAGAATTCATTCAACTAGGTAATGCACTGTATCTTAAAATGGACCAAATTTTTTTATTATGTTAAATGCCACTATGTATGTCATTATACTTCTATGTAATAGAATTAAGGAAAGATGCCACATTTCATATGCAAAATTTTGGATAACCACAGTCATTGGTAATCCATCTTTTCTATTGGTAATGAACACCCAGCTTATCAATTTTGGTTTACGAAATAGGTTTTTGGTTTTTTTTGTAAAAATCTCTAAAAATGAAAAGATAATTATCTCTTGCCTTGCTTAGTGCAAGAGAAATCCACTTTGCATAATTATATTTTAGATTGCATGCAGAACAGAGATTTTCTATTAAAAACACATTTTGGAAACAGAATGCCAATCATTGTAACTGGGAAACAGCACAAAAAAATATTTCATTCTGTTACCAAGGCCTTGCAGTTGTGAACTTCCCTAAACCACAAACTTCAATATTTCAGTGTTCAAAAGATATAGGAATACCTTTATCTGAGGAGGACTGGTCAGTTTGAAAAGCAGTTGATAACATTACTGTGCATAATGACTTGAGACAGACGCAAATGTCCATAGGTGTTTTATTTCATCACATTTTATGTCTGTGCAGAATATTATTGAATGTGGGGGGGATGGGAACAAAAACTTGGATAATGTCCTCTTTTTCTCATTCACTATGGTAGTTTTCAGAAATTCATAAATTTTGGGGAAAAGTTGAGCAATAAGTTCCCAGTTATCTCCTGTTTGATCCCAAGCTTTTTGTCCTAGATATTTGCCTGGGCAATCAGACTGCAGCATTTGTTTAAAAATGTCATTTATTTCCATTAGTACTAGCAGACTGTGTGTTCAAATATTGGGTAACATTGTCCAACCTTATAATGATAGTTTCTGTTAGACTTTCTACCCCTAGAACAGAACATTGGATGTCTTGTGGAAAGGGAGGACGTTTTCAAAGATGAATGGCTCTCAGTTTGAAACAGTTTAGGCAAAATGGAATAATCTATTAAATTATGATATAGACTGTTTAAGACTATAACCAAATCTGGACTCTTGAAAACTATTTTTTTGATTCTTGTTCTAGTGTAGTTTTATACCACTTTGTGATACTTTGATTATTTAATTCTCTGTTTGTGCAGCAGCACTAATAAAGTTTGGCTTTAAAAAATGATGACTGCTGGACCTGAGTTAGGTGTGTCCCATCCCAACAGCACTCTGTCTTACATTAAATAAATTGGATCTGTCTTCCAAGCCCTAAGATCACATTGACATTGAGTTTTGTTCCACTGCCTCAGCTGGGTGGGATGTAACAAGCATAGAACTGGGTACCATCACCATTCATTATAGTCCTTTCCATGGTCTACTATCATCCTACATAAGAGAGTCCTCTGGGAGAGGAGCAGTTGCTAACAAATTACCCTTTCAGTTCTCTCAGACAGATAGGAACAGAACCTCCTGCTAGGATCGGCAGGTAAGACTGCAGAATCTCATGGTCATCCACATGAAAGGCTGTGAATTGGTCTGAAAGAGCCTGCACAGACACTTATCTTCATGGCAAGAAGGCGATCAGTGATTAACAGAATTAGCTTAGTTTCCACTAAGCCCCAGCTTCTGAACCAGTGCTGCTTCTTTGAGTGATGGTACCTATTGTGTATTCCACACATGCCATGCATTTGGTTCCAGAAGTGTTTCCAAAGTGTGCCAACTTAGCTACTTTGTCACTAGGTTTAGTGACTTTTTGGTTTCCTTAGTGAGGAAATAATTGTCAACGTGACCAGTGACAAATCTAGTGACTTTCACTGCTGGTTATAGTGACATTCAGAGAAATAAATCACTAATATGTATCACCAAATCATTCACAAACAGCTCAATAGTGTTAATAAAATCATTTCCATTCTCTTCTTATGACATTCTGTTGCACACCAAGTTAATGTTATGTCTCAGTTGTTGTGACAATACTGCTATATAGGTCAGTATGCTGGAGTATGCGGAAGATTGATAAATGAAAGATACTGACTGCAGAAATGAACTGGCTGAGGGGAATACTGAGAATTTCAAGACTGCAGAAAATAATAAATGAAGTGATAAGAAAACAGGGCAAGAAGTAACTCTGTTACAGAAGATTCAAGAAAGACTGCAGTGGTTCGGACATGTGCCCAAGATGCATGTAGGGAGGATACCGTACATGGCAATTCCTTTCAGAGTGTAAGGGTATGTCTACACTACGGAATAAGGTCGAATTTA